CATGTTAAACAATTTGCAATGATGAAAGTTTTATATGGATTAGTTGAGAAATTTGATATGTATATGTGTCATATACAGGATATGTGAGCATAATCATATTAGGAGGTGGGAGTTCACCTATAGGAAGGAGTAATAGAAATCCATATGGCACATATCTCCTTAGTGCCTAGTAAGGCATGGCATTGGAGATAGTCTCCTTGGTATCCATGCGGGATATGGTATTGGAGAGTGATGCTCCTTAACATCAGTGATGCGATATTGGAGTAATAACACCCTAATTAGTGTGGGATGAGAAAGACTATAGTTTGAAAGTGGGATAGACGCCTTTGACCGAGTAATCCTACCACTGAAGGTGAGCTCAAACTATTGTGAATGTGTACTTGATTCAAGAGCCTATAGTTTCAATAGTGGTGATATGGAGGCTCGGATGGTAAAATGATCATACTAGTGATAAATGAATATTGATTATGAAAAAGACTATCTTGAACTATGCTAAAAGTATGTTTTGGTATATAAAAGCTTTACTCCCATATAGTTGTACATGTTAATTACTAGTAGTGAATTATTATATTACTGAGATGTTTATCTCACCCCATAGCTATATTTTATAAGTGAGGGCTCCAGTAGGAAAAAAAGGAAGACAGGGGCGACTGAAGAGTGAAGAGCATTGTTGTATAGCTCTTCTCTTTCCTCTTTTTAGGCTTATAATGAATATGCTATAATATAATGCCAACTTAAAAGAATTTCATGATTTTGTTATCACTTGTATAAGAATATATGAAGTGTGTGTATCTTGGCCCAAGATTGATGTTATTGTGATTAAATAAGTATGCTTAGCCATGATACAATTACAAGTGATATATTTGAAATGATTTTTGTGTCAAAATAACCAAAACAATAATTGTGTTAAGTTTTATCTACCTCTTTATGTTGTTGTGAATTAAGGGTTTGGTAGTCATTTTAAGTACGAATGCTTATTTGTGTGATGTGATTGATTTGTCATGTTATGTGTGGTTAATTTGAGGTGGTCAAAGTGATTTCGGAGCTAATGGCATTTAGTAGTGTGTTTTAGACACCTTTGAAAGTGTTTTGAAGAAAAACAAATTATTTTGAGTTTGACTGTTCATCTTTTTAAGGGATGATTATTTGAGTATGAGATCAGTGCCATTAGCTAGAGGGTTCGAAGAGCTTCGCGTGGACACTTAAACCGCTCAAATCGAACGTTGAATGGCAAAATGGCTTGCTCTGAAATTTTAGAGTACTATCATGATCATGACAATAGGTGCACTCTGTGGCACAAATGCTCTATGACATCTACCACGATAGGTATGGGATGTGCTGCGGCAAACGGGCTAGTTTCTAGAAAAATTCTAGATTATATTATCTTATTTTCAAATGCTTATGGTTTTCATACTTCCGTTATCATATTTAATTGATTTTGAGCCATAGTTTGAGCTCAAGCAACATTTTTAAAAGGGTTTTTTTTAGATCCCATTATTTTAACTATTTACCTTTTTAGACCCTTATTGATTTTGAGCCATAGTTTGAGCTCAAGCAATATTTTTAAAAGAATTTTTTTGAGATCTCATTATTTTAACTAATTACCTTTTTAGACCCTTGTTTACTTCAGGTTTTATTTAATCCTGGTTAACACAACGACATGTAAGAGTGTTGTCCTGATAATGTTAAAGTGTACATTATACTATAAGCCACAGTGTATGGCACAAAGGTGAACATGCCGTGATGCATGTTCAATGAGTCATGACACACGCCCCAATTTTTGCAGAGTCACTATGTTTTCTAATTTTTTAACAAATGCATCAACATTTAGAATGATCTCATGCTTTCGCATAATTGTTAACCCTAATTTGTTTCTTTCAAATGTCTTTGAGAATGGTTTTAGTTTTAAAAACATGAGATCCTAACTTTTTCACTCATTTGCAACTTGGTATTATGTTATTTATCTTAGTCTAATCTCTTTATTAATTGAGATTTTGAGTTAACCAGGATTTGAGAAGGAGGATATTACAACTATTGATTCTCTTGTCTGGTCTGCTGCTAATAATGGACTTTACTCATTTAAGCTTGGTTATCGAAAAGTTTTAGTGAAGTCTTCCCTAGTAATTAGCAAAGCTCTTAATACTTAATCAATTATCTCTACTAATCTTTGGAAGTGTCTTTGGCAGCTCAAGCTTCAATCAAAAATCAAACATATTTTTAGGGAGCTTTGAATAACTCTCTTACCACCAAACATACACTTTACAATAAGAAATGTACAACTAATCTGCTGTGCCCCATATGCCATTCACATCTAGAAACTGTTGAGCATATGCTTCTTCTCTATAACTAGGCCAAACAAGCTTAGTTCGAGCATTTTTTGACCTTGAAGGTTAATGCTACTCATATTACATCTTTCGATCATTGGTGCTATAAGTTTTTCCTCCATGACTCTTTAATAGATGATTTTGGCAAGCTAAATATTGCCAACTTTTGTTGGAATATTTGGAAGTTGAATCTGCCTCAATTTTCTCTAGGGTTGTTGTTGATCCTTTCTCAATAGTATCAATTACTAATGATGTTGTCTCTGAATTCTAGAAAGTCAATTTTAAGGAAGAACGTACTACAACTATTATTGAACTTGTGTCTAGAGTCTGGATGCCCCCTTCATTGAATGTAATTAAAGTAAATTGTGATGGCTCATTTCTAGCTTTTGGCTAGGTTGGTATAAGCATAGTATGGAGAGACCATTTGTGCAATTTCATCAAGAGCTGGTGTGAAAGTGTCATTGCTTCATCTGGGTTTATGTTTGAAATACTTGCATGCCAGAAAGCTCTCTCTTTACTTCAAGTTGAAATTCATCAATCTATAGTTTTAGAGCTTGACTATCAAGATTTTTTTAAAGCCCTGTCATTTAAATGCTATGATAGTTGTACCTGGTTGTTTCATGGGCTGTTATATGATCTGATACAGAGTACTGAAGCTTTTCCTTTACTACGCTTCTCTCTGGTTAGATGATTAGGGAATTTTGCTGTGGATTATCTCACTGCCTTTTCATCTAAGGGAGTGGAACCTTTGGGCTAGATTTGTGAACATTCACTCCCTCTTTCATCAATACTCATTAAAAATTCATGCTCATTTCAGACTACCTCACAACAACTCACTTCTGTTCATGATCGAGAGGGAATCAACTAGATATTATTTTGTAACTTTTTGTACTGTTATCTTTGCTATTGGCTTATGGCTTAAACTCTATTCTCTTTCCATTTAATGCATCTTCCCCTTTACTAGTAAAAAAAAAATTACGAACCAAAAAAATATGATTTGTAAAATAATTTATATGATTTTTAGATAAATTTTTAGAAATGTATAATTAAAAAATTGAATTGAAAAGTATGTAATATTAACTTATAAGATAACCATAATTTTAAATTCATAATTGATTTTGGCATGTATGAGAGTGTTTAGATATTTTAAAGAAAATTACAATTGTAACTTCATAATTGATTTTAGAATATTTATAATGGGTGTTTGGATTTTTTTTTCTGAAACAATGATTTTAGATTCATAATTAATTATAACATGTAACATATGTTTGGATATATTTTTACAAAATCATGATTTTACCTTATTTTTAATTCTACTTTTCAATGTTGGTTTTCAATTCTTATTAAAATCAATCTTATTAATCAATTTTATAAATCAATTATGTATCACATATCATAATTAATTATATTAATTAATTTTTTTATAATTAGTTATACCCAACTAAAATCCAAACACATCCATTATAGATTAGAATAAAATTGATTTCAATAAAAACAAATCTATACATAATATCAAAATGTAAAATGTTAAATTGAATATCGATAAGTATTTTATTTAGGAGTCATGCACGTGAGACCTCCTTTCTAATTAAAATTAAAATTAATTAAAAATTAAAATTATACTTAAATTTCTCGTCCAACAAACTTACATAGAAAATGTTCAGGAAGGGAAAAAGCAAAAAAAAAAAAAAAAAAAGGTATGTGCCCGAGCACTAGTATTTCGCAGTAGGGGTGTTCAGTCCGGACCCGTTCCGATTGGCCCGGTATCGTCCCGATCATATCGGGACGGGTCTTGTCCCGGCCCGAAAATAATCGGGACGGGACTTTACGGGACGGGACAGGAAAGAGGTTCGGGACGGGACGGGACACGGGATTACCATCGGGACGTCCCGTCCCGTCCCGAATATTATATATATTATTTTTTATTTTAAATATATTAATTATATTAATATAATTTATACTTATATTAATTATATCAATTATAATTTTAATACTTACAATTCTTATTTAAAACTAAAGTTTTTTTATATTGATAATTTTAATGGCATGGAGTAAACATGGCGATATCTTGCTTTATAATATATTAATTATATTAATATAATTTATTCTTATATATATATCTATTTAATAACTTTTATTTACAACGTATTTTTTGCTTATTTTTAGAAGAGTAATTAGTTTAGTACATCTTCACTAAAGTAGAAGAACAATGATTTGATATTATGTTTGACTTGTCTGTTGTTACTAATCTTATAGTATAAAGATCATTTGTATTTATTATTATAATGTGTAGTTATGATTAATATAATTCAATAATTGATTTTAAATTATTGTTATTTATGTACTTGTGTTGTTTTGATTTTAAACTTAATAAATTATATGATTTAAAATTTTAATGAATGTTATTATCCAGATCTTTTTTCAATATTATTTTATTTATCAGGACGGCGAGACGTCCCGATCTTATCCCGATCCCGTCCCGACTCTTAACGGGACGGGACGACTTTCGGGACGGGACGGGACACGGGACTAAAATTCAGTCCCGATCTTTTTCTCGAGACGGGACATGGGACGGGAGTGTCCCGGTCCCGTCCCGTCCCGTGAACACCCCTATTTCGCAGCATATTATTATCGTGAAGCGGCTTTCGTTCCCCTCGTTTTGCGCATCATGCTCAGTCAAGTATAAAAAGCGGCCTCCATCGCTACCCGTCTCTTCAGTCACTTTCAGCGGTCACACCGTTCTCTTCAGTTTTGTTTTCTGCGTGCATGCATTTCGACGATGGGCAATCTCTGCGCCATCCAAGCAGCCCAAACGACTAAGAAAAAGCAGACCAAGCGCTTACCCACTGCGCCATCAATTTCCAATTCCAGTAATCGTTGGGTCCGGACGCGTTCTTCTCGTCAGGAAAAAATTGATGATGCTGTGATTCAAGAACAAGCGCTAGTGGCTGCGATGCTTTTGAAGCAGCATCAGCAGAATGGTACTTTACCGGTTGATCGATCCAGCTCTCTCAGACAACCGAATATGTCTAATAAGAAGAATTCGTTGCCTCGGAGTTCCAGTTCCAGGGCTCGATCACTTGCTGACCCTTTGCTACAGCCTCATCAGCTTGTTAATCAGGTCTGTTTTTATGGGCGGTTGCTCACGTTTGCGGTATTTGTTTGTGGAATTCAACTGTTTAGGACGAAATTTGATCAGTTGGAATTATGATCATGACCTTCGGCAAGAACAACACTGCTTATTGTCTCTCTCTTTTTGTTGTTTGATTTGGTTTCTTCGCCTCTTTGCATTCATGGTATTGGTTACAATTGCTAAAATCTGTCCCGGCAATTGTTGAAATCCAGCTTATATTCGGGACATGGGTTTCTGTTATTTACGGTAAAAAATTATGGCAATTTATGACGTTTAGCTACCTCGAAACGATGTTTTTCTAAAATGAGAACTGTGAGGTGATTGTTCTCCGATGATCAAGGTTTTAGTCATGTATCAGAATATTTTTCAGGAACCTGCAATTTTGTAAAGGGAGGGTTTAAGATCTTTATTTGCCCGCTTTAATATTTCGAGGCACGCCTTTCGAACCATTTTTCACTGAAAACCGGGTGTAGCTTTGAAGGCAACTTCTTTACGCTTCTTTCTTCTCGCATGAGAGATGTTAGTTTCTAAAATGCTATTAAAGTCGGATCCAACATCACCATCTTTGACTTGGGTGTTTGAAGGTGGCCTCAGCTGAACGTTGTCTTCAAAACTTAGACTGGTCCAGCGGAATGTAACTTTAATTGCTGCGAAGTTGTCTTACACCGGGGCATTTGTTTGTGAGAGTGTGGAGGCATCGGTAATTTACGATTTGGGTCTGGGTATGGATAAAAGTAGTTCTGTGAAAGCTAACAAATTACTGCTGTTAAAAACTTTGACTTCATATTTGTTGGCAATAGTATCACTTGATTGAAGTTTACATGATTTAATTAATAAGGCTTTCCTTTTTATAGTGAGATTATCTGTTGAAAGATTACCTGCAGCAATCACGTTGTATTAGCTAATTAGCAAATGTCAAAATATGACATTTTAAATTATGAGCTTCCCCACTTTGACAGGATATAAAGCCTGATGATCTGGAAACCAATCATTTTGTACTTGTTCATGGAGGTGGCTTTGGCGCTTGGTGTTGGTATAAAACTATTGCACTTCTAGAGGAAGGTGGTTTTAGGGTTGAAGCCATGGACTTAACTGGTTCTGGCGTTGATTCCTTTGATACCAACAACATTACGTGTATATCACAATATGTGAAGCCGCTTACTGATTTTCTTGACAATCTTCCTGAAGGCGAGAAGGTGTTTATCTTATTGTTTTCTCATGTTTAATAATTGACAATTTGATCATATTTTAAATGTTTCTTATATTTCTTTGTTAGCTGCCTTTGGTTTTAAGTCTTGGTGGGGATAGGATGTGTTTTGACATTTAGTATACCTATTATCAACATTGCCAGCATCTTGCCAAGTTTATAACATTTTTTAATTGCTCTTTCTCTCACTCTCGGAGCATGTGTCCCCCATACACTGCAGTCCCAAATTAATTCTGGCAAAATGAATAACTATGTTTCTGTAAGAGGTCATGATGGAGTTATGTGCATGAGTGCTGAAGAATTGCTACAAAAGGAAACTTTAGGAATTGGGATGATTATTGGGAAATAGCCTTTTTGTTTTCAACAAAGGAGAGACTTGATTTGTGGATGAAGCATAGGCACAGAACAGTAAGAAACAAAGGTGCTGAAAAGATAATTGAAATTGAAAAGGGAGAAAAATAATCTGGATTGAAGATGCTTTATGATTTATCATTGATCCATTGGTTATTGTTTGGTAGGAAAGCAAAACTTGGGTTAGCAATGAGAATAAGCTATCTGCAGAATGTACTTCCCGTGTATTACTTAATTTCTCCCTGATTTTGTTTGCAGGTGATATTGATTGGACATGATTTTGGTGGGGCTTGTATATCTTATGCTATGGAGTTGTTTCCTCTTAAAATTTCCAAGGCTGTTTTTATTTCAGCAGCAATGCTGATCAGTGGACAAAGTACTCTTGATATCTTTTCTCAACAGGTGAATTTCTCCTGTTAGCGTTACAACAGCTACATCAATGTTTTATAAATTTTATAGAAAGCATGTAGTTGCCATTTATAATTTTATATTTTATTATTATGTTTATGAACTTACAGCTACAGATGTGATTGACTCTCTAAAATGTTTCAGCTTATTTTACCACGTCTATGCCATCCATTGAGTAGCATGCAAAATGAAGTGTGCTTGATGTGCATAGTAATCATCCCTTGTTACTCATCAGTAGACTTTGTTTGGAATTTTTCCATAACCAGTGGTCTTTGTTAATGTTACTAAAATTCATTTTGAAATTGTAGACTTCAGAATTTGCCCATCTCAGAGTTGAAATGCTTGTTGCCTGATTTATGCCTTCACTATGGCTTAATCTTGCTCATTAAATTTATGTAAATTTGTACGGATAATCTCTGTCAAATGATTGACACTGTTTGATTTTCAATGTTCCTTGCATCTTTTAAGCTTCAAGGGAGTTAAAAATGAAGAGAAAGAGAATTTATAGTTATTTATGGTTTCCTGCTCTTATTAAAAGAGTTGAGTTTATACATCATAATGTGGAGTTCCTCAATTCTCTCAGTGCGTTTCATTGCGTCCATCAATCACAGGCGGGTTCAAATGATCTTCTACAAAGAGCTCAGATCTTTTTGCGCTTGAATGGGAAAGATCAGCCTCCTTCTTCCATCGATCTAGACAAGTCATCGTTGAGGGATTTGTTATTCAACCAAAGTCCCACCAAAGTAAGTTAGAGTATTATGTATTAACATGGAAATTCTACGGTTATTTTAACAATCTAAGATTATGACATACATGAAAGGGTGGTGTTTTTCTTTTCTTTTTTTTTCCTTGAAAGAAAACAGAACTAATAATCAAAATAGATTACAAGCTAATCAGTGTTTCAGACTTTTTTTTTCATCATCCATCTCTTTTCTACAATAAGGTGGGGGGTTAATCAAAGATGATAAAATACCCAAAATTTACACTAAAATTTGAAGATCTGGTCACTTGTAGCATTTAATAGAGAAGGCACATGTGCGCCATTGAAGTGATATTTCATCTTGGGGAGCCAGAAAGCCACTACAGATTTGGTTTCTAAGGGGAAAATTTAATAATTTAATAGTTCATAACCTATGGTGAGCCATCTTCCCTCATTCCCCAGTCCCTCCTTGCGAAGGAAGACAGGAGAAACTTCTCCTCATGCTGCTGAACAGGCAATCTCCATGACGATTGTGATAATTCCTAATGCAGAAAATTCGTGTATTGGAGTAATGGAGCATTAAACTTTCAATATTCTGGGCATTAAATATTATGGAAATTTGTACTGAGATTTGATAGTTGTTCGTTGTGGTCTGTGTCTGTCTTTCACGTATGCCAATATGGGGATAGTATCAAGTCCTGTAGTCTTGAGCGATCCTCCCCTGTTTCTTGATTACTTTGATATCTTGTTACAGGATGTTGCATTAGCATCTGTTTCAATGAGGCCAATACCGTTTGCACCATTATTAGAGAAGCTTTCTCTTTCTGACCAAAGGTATGGATCTGTGAGGAGATTCTACATAGCAACTCCTGAAGACAATGCCATCCCCATCACACTCCAGGAGAACATGATAAATGCAAATCCCCCAGAAAAAGTCTTCCGGTTGAAAGGGGCTGATCACTCTCCTTTTTTCTCAAAGCCTCAAGCCCTGCACAAGTTGCTGTTAGAGATTTCGCAGATCCCTTGAAAACGTTATTCTACTTAAATCGCTTCTGATGGCATGCTCATGAGAAACCTCGACTCACATGGCATACGAATGCAATTGACATCTGTAACTTCAGCATAGGGACAAGACTTAGGTCAAGTTCTTTAGTTGTTTGTTATTATGCTCCCTAATAAAAACATTACATGTAGATGAATTTATATATATATATATATATATGAAAAAAAATAGCCTAACTACATGGACATCCATTTGTTACAGAAAAGTTCTTATGTTTTCATTGGAAATCCTTATTGCAAACACTAATAGTTTTATCCTTAGAAAGAATGGTATTGTATGGGGGTAGCGTGACTTGATTACATTTTAAGGATTGTTTCTTTTCTTCAAAAAAAATATTGATGTCGTCTGAAAAAAAAATCATTTCATTTTTATTAAATGCATTATTTTTTAAAAAAAATTCCCTCTTATATGTAACAATTTATTCTACTCACAGAAAATTACAAAATGACATAATTGAAAGAAACAAATTAATTATTTATCCATTTATGTAAAGTAACTTCTAAAAAAGATTATCATTTTTGTTAAAAAGAAATATGGTGAGACTGGAAATAGTATGTACTGAGAAGCAAACTGAATTGGGTTTGGTAATGGATAAGTCTAAAAGGGGAACTTCAATTGGGTTTGGCAGTGGGCAAGCTACAGAGCTTCACTCTTTGCAACAGCAAGATGTCACATGCGTGAGACTAGAGCAAGGGATTTGTCGGTTTACCATCCTTTTCGGCTAAAGCTAAGTTCTTCGATTCATTCGTCACTTTGCCTCACCGCCAAGCAATTCATAGCAAACTTGAGAAAATATAAAAGTCTTTCATAAATAAAAAATAATAATTTTGGATCTCTACACTTTACTATAAGTAGAGCCGTTAATTAAGGTCGAACCCATAAGGCCGGCCCTTTTAAGCCCGAAAAAATTAAGGGCCGGGCCGCTACTTTGATATTAAAAAAGGTAAATCAAGCTTAAAAGGGCCGGCCCTTTTAAGCCCAAAAATAAAAGGGCCGGCCCTTTTAAGCCTTAATATATTTTTTTAAAAAAAATAACATAAAAAAAAGAATACACCATATCACTCAAACTCAGCAGTAACACTTACTCTCTAGTCCAAATAATAGACACGCACATTATTATTTGCTTACTTTAAATATTTTTACATTCTTTAAATACCTTGAAATTATGATTTTAATTTGTTATTTATTGCAAATAATGAGAATGAAGAAGAAAAATATGAAAAGCTTAACATATTTTACATTGATGAGGATCCACAAGGAGAATGATCAAATCATATTGATGTTGATAATGATAAAAATTATCAAAATTTAGCTAATGATGCTACCAATATGTAATTGATGTCAGAGTTGATTTTAGGTTTTTTTTTAATTAGACTTAAAATTTTTGTTGTGTGAATTGATTTTATTTTATTTTTCTAGACTTAATGTGATGTGTAATATATTTATTGAGATTTTAAATATTTTTTATTTTTAAATTAAAAAATAAAAAAATAATTAGAGCCGAGACACTGAGGGCCAGGGCCGAGCTACTAAAACTAGAGTCCTAAAGTATAATCAGGCTTAAAAGGGTTAGCTCGTTTAAGCTCTGGCCCTTGAAGAGCCAGCCCTAATTGACACCTCTAACTATAAGTTCCTGAACTTTTTTTTTTAGTATTCTAAGTTCTCACATTTTTGTTTTTCTATATTATAGGTCCTTTTATAACACAGAAAAATAAAAGTGTGAAGATCTACAACATTAAAAAAAAAGTATAAAAACCTATAACAAAATGTGAATAATGTGTAAAGACTTAAAGTTATGTTTTTTCTAAATAAAATAACAAAGCATTTTACCCAAAAAAAGAAAAAAGCATCTTTCTCATATTTTCATTGGCAACATTTTTCATAATAACAATTGTGACCCTTTAATTAATATGTATAAAAGTGAAAAATTGAGATGCTTTAAATAAATAAAGTAATACTCCCTTTAATTTTATTTATAAGACACCTTCTAAAAATAATTATGAATTTAACTGCAAAGACATAATAATATATATATATATATATATGCCAGCCCCACTACCTAGTTTAATTTTATAAATGCATGAAAGTAAAAAATTATAAGAATAAATATAATACATCCAGATACTATATGTTTTTTCCTGTTTCGCACAATGACGTGCACAGGACACCATTTTGTATTCACGATCTTGTTATTTTTTATAAATTGCTATAAGTATAAATAATTTTTACTTGTCATATTTTTATTAATTTATTGATTATAAAATTATTAAATATGTTGATTGATGGTTGATTGAGTCATGATATACTGATACATTGATGATTAGGGTAATTAAAATAATCTAATTTTGTTGACCATCATTAAAATAATATAGTTTAAAACTTCGAACTTCTTCATAAATACTTGTTTATCACCCGAACGTGAGTTCGCCTCCCTGCTCTGCTTGTCTGCTCGCTCCGGGGAACAAGGTATGGAAGTCTCAGATCTGAAATTCTGGCTCTTCAAGATTTCCATTTCGATCCGTACTCTTCACCCCGGGCAATTCGAGTTTGCTTTCTACCTGCTTTCCTAGATTTATATCAAATACACGTTTGCCATTTTCATTCCTCAATTTATTCGACTGTTGGAATTATGGATTTAACTATGGGATGCCTGGCGGGATAATGCTACTCTATTTACTTTTAAAGCTTAAATCGCATGATGCTGGATTTCTTTTGGTCGCATTCCCTTAGGTTGGCATCTAATTTCAATTGTCTTCTCATTTCCTTACGGTTGCTATATGTTCGTGAGGAGAAAAGTCAGGTCAAATTATGCCTTGTTTGTTGATTCTCATGCTCTTTGAACGCAATAAAGCAACATGAGGATTCCAAAATGGATTTTGAATTATAGGATCAGATGGACTGATAAATTACTGTCCCTATTCCTAATCCCTTGGTTTTTCATTTTGCATTTCTTTATAGGTTATCTTCTTTGTCATCCCATAAATGCTGGTGGTTATATATACTTCTCATCAAAGAAAATGTACAACGCAGGTCCATCCACAAGCTTTAAATTGGCACAAAATGGGTCGTGGGATTAGCAATGGTGGTGGCCAGAGTTCTCTGGGATATCTCTTCGGAAGCGGGGAGGTTGCCAAAGCCGGCAATACCCGAAATGCTCCTGCTCAAAGTCAGCCTGCAAACGGAGGGCAATCTCAAAATGCAAGCGTTGCGCCACAACCAATTGACAAGGAAATTCCGGCTGGAATTCATGGGAATCTGACAAACAATTACCATCGTGCTGATGGGCAAAACTGTGGAAATTTCATCACTGTAAGGCCTTCGCTGACATCTCTCTTAAGTTCATTTGAACATCTTTCCTCATGCATGCATGTCCTAACCATTTTTGGTGAAGGAAATTTTGAAAATTTTAATTGCTAATCCTTAATATTATGAGAAATGAGGACTGGAATCTCCCCATTTGCAATTAACTTATTGATAATGCTTATTAAAAAATAAGGTCCATGGTTAAAGTCTACAACTTATGTGAGGGGCAAGACAAATTTGGACAGTAAGTAAACAACAGTATGCATAACAAGAGCGCTGCGACATGGAAAATTCTAGGATCACATTATAGAGAAGCTATTCGAATTAGAATTAACTGCAACTGAACAAATTAATGGCAGACTGTTATTCTCATTCAATCACACTCTCTCACACCCCCCACCGGATCGCTTCCTGTACAGGGAAGTATCCAAACTATGTGACTTGCGAGTTACCAGATCTAGAATTCGGTTCTTCTCTATATGTCTTGAGAGATTATTAATGATTTAACTTGAAAAATTATCCTTATCTGTCCCAGAGTGCATTCCCTAGGACTGTGGACTGCTGTATGTTTTATTGTTGACATCGGCAATCTTACATGCCCAATAAAATTGGTTCTACTTTTGTATTTTTTCGCTCGGTATTCAGTCTTTAGTGTGCTTTTTTTGGCGCAAGACACTTGTTAACTGTCAAGTTGCTGGATTTGCTGTAGAGCTCTCTATTGAGCAATTCCATGCCTTGCCTTATTTAGTTTGTACTTACGTCTAAGGGAATATTCCCTTTTCATTTACGTCCATTCTGGTGATCACGATAACTCCTTGGATATGATGCAAACGTCTGACACGAACCTTTTTACTGCTGTTCAAAGGGATAAGATAGAGCAGGATCTGTATAAATCAGAGCGTGAATAAAATCATAGTAAACTCTGATACATAATGCATACTAGTTCCCCGTAAATAGAAGGTAACATGCATTGTCGTCCTGCCTGATTTCAACTTAAGGGTCTTAGCATGATGATACAGGAATTGGGAATGAATGAAATTTCTTTTAGTGGTTGTTATCATGATAACTGGACAATATTGTTCTTATTTGTAATTTTCTTTTGAATGCAGGATCGACCATCTACCAAGGTTCATGCTGCCCCTGGAGGTGGCTCTTCTTTGGGCTACCTCTTTGGTGGGCCTGGGAACTAATCTTTCGTGTTTAGAATGCTTTTCAGTAGCACATGTTGTGCGCAAAATGTTAACTACTATAGTATGTCTAGAACCATGTTCTTGTTCGCTGAGAAATTGGATTCAATGCCTTGACATTGGTATGACTAATGATTCCTCATTTGCGGGTTGCTCGGTTTAGTATGCTCTGCAAATCTGTTGGCTTTCAATAATGAAACTGGTTGTGTGCAAGGCTCTGTTTGGATTTGTGTTTGGACTTCCAAAACGCATTCCTAAGCCCAAAAAGCGCTGGTGAGCTTATTCAGTGTCCAAACAATATCTGCCTCTCAGAAATCTCATTTCAGGAGATAATGAATTGATGAAAGACAGGCAAAAAGAAAATATTATTCCACAGATGCCACATTTTCACACTCCACGATGGTTAGGACAAGAAGTTTCTCTTCATAATAGTTTCCTAACACGTGAGAAGTCCGGATGCTGGAGACGATGACTTTGTCTGAGGTCGGCAACTTTCTCAGAGTCAGCGAGTTTGCTCTTCTATTTCATTTTCTCACTTCATCTGCACGTAGCTGGGCCTCCTTCAATCCTGTGGCATTTTTTGTTACATTTTATGTATTTATTCGGGTTTCACAGTTGCGCAAGAAGGATAAGGATTTAAAAAAAAAAAAAAGTCAACTCGTGTTACAATAAGGTACAGATACTTCAAATTACTTAACATATCTAATATTGATATATATGAATATTTTTTCAATACATATATATAAAGTACACCTTCTGTTAAAAAATATAACATATTTTTTGAAAAGTTGAATGTTAAAAAATATAAGGTATTTTTAATCTTTTGAAGTGTAATCATTGCTTTTTTAAAAAAAAAGTGTCCATGTTAATGAATACCTTTATATTTATTGTAAGGTATTTAATGAAGATAAATATTAAAAAGTAAAGTTATTTTGAAAGTAGGTAACTACTTTATTGAACGGTGAGATTTAATTAAAAATGTTTTACATTTTTTAACAGATGAAGTATTAAAATACTATTTTTTAACATTTTCCACCCGTATTTATTTGTAAAGTATTAAAATATCATTTTTTAATTAAAAATTTTTTAATTTTTGATACATATTTGATACTATTAAATTGTGAGCCGATGTTGATCAAAAGAAAATGGGAGAATGACATTGAAAGCCCTAAAAGGCAAAATTATTGCAATAGAAACTTATTAATTTTGTATCGAATGTTGTAAAAACACAACATGTTGTTGTAAAAATAATAGGGTCTTTAATATCATTCTCTAAAAGAAAATATTATTCTATACAAGCCCCATTCCCACGCTCCACAATAGGCAAGAAGTTTCTCTTCACAATAGCTTCATGATGCAAGAGAACTCTAAGGCCTCACTTGATACGCAGAGCTCAATTTAGAGGGATTGAAATTGAGATTGAAATTAAAAGTAGAAATGAGAGTGAGAATGAAATTTTAAAATTATATTTAGTGTGGAGTAACATTAAGAGAAAATACTTACTTTTATTTTATTTTAAAATTAAATAAAAATATAAAAATACTATATTACCCCTCAAAACATAAATTAAATATTTTATGTCATTATCATCTGAACACTCTTCACCCCCAATACTAAACATCCATGGCCACGGAAGAAAACTTGCTTCCATTAGTTATCCCCATTGTCTTCTTCCTCTTCTTTCTTCTTCTTGTTGCTCTTTTCCCCCAAAAAGAACATCAATGGTTGCAAGAGAGAATCTCATCGCCGCCCTCTCCTCCCTCCCTCCCTCCCTCTTTTCCCTTCTAGTTCGAACTAAAATGAGAACGACTAGAATGTAGATGATGGTGGCAAGATTAGGTGACTGTAGCTTAGGTTCAGACCGATTATGCAAATAACACCGTTGATCGGTCTCCTCCTTCTCTCATCTTTGATCTCCTCCTTCTTCGTACAGATCTAGCGACGATGTCAGTGGATGAGAGACTGGCAACAACAGAGGAGACCCCGACATTGCTTGGATTGAAAGGAGGGCAAAAAGGGAGAGATGAGATGGAGACGAAGGAGGAGAGGGCAGTGGAAGGATATGATGGAGAGATAATAGGGGGTAATTTGGTTTGAAAATAATTAAATCTTGGGATTAATTTTTCAGTACCATGGGGGTAGTGGTATTAATCTCACTAAAATGAGATTGATATTGAAATTAAATTTTTCATTCTTTCATACCAAACATAAAATGATAGGATTATTTAATACCAATCTCATTCCACTCTCTCATTCCTTCTTACTAAACATGGCATAAATGCTATGGACGATGGCATTGCCTAAGATGGGCAGCTTCCTCAAAGTTGGTGAGTTGCTCTATTTCATTTTTTTGGCTACATTAACACATAGCTTGGCATTTTTAGGTTCATGTGTTTTGGTTTAATTATTCAAGTTACGCCTTACTAAGAATTTGTATTTGAAAGAATTATATTGAAATTTCATCAGTAAAGTTGATTGTCACAAGGTCCGCTTATGATTGAATCAAAAACATTAATTTTATAATAATTAATTTTTTTATATGAGACTTATATGCAATTTTTTCTTTAAAAAAAATCAATTGCCACAAATTGCAAAGCATCAATACTTCAAATTGCTTAATATATCCACATTGATATTGTATTTGATACCAATAGGTGTTGATATTTTTTTAATAAGTATCTACAAAATATTAAAATATTACTTTTTAATTAATTTTTTAATATTTTTTATGTTTTTCTAATACTTACAGGTTATAAGTCAATACTTACAAGCTATGAAGTATTGACATCGTAAATTACTTGATGTATAATCAATGTTGTATGCTTGTATCAAACATCAAACTTTTTCAATCCACATCTATTAAATATCAAAATATTATTTTTTTAATTAAAAATATTTGTATTATATATATATATATATATCTGATATTTTTAAATCGTGAGTCAACATTTTAAAACCAATACTTCAAGGCATTTGAAATTAAATTTTGTTAAAGATTTTTGTATTAATATTTTAATTTCTAATATCTTTTTATAGTTTCCTTTTAAAATTAATATTAAAATGAATTATAAAATAGGTTTTTTATATTTTCAAAAATAAAATATTTTATTTATTTACTAGTATATTTTACTATTTACTTTTAAGTATTTTCATTTTAGGTTGTAAATTAGTTTGTAGCTTTTTTATTTTATTTCAAAATCTTCTTCAACTTAGAAAAACTAGAATTTAAAATAAAATGATTAGATTCAATGAATATAGTAGTGATGTATCAGACACGTATCACATTCGATTTATCTGTGCGTCGTAGCTTGAAAGCCAATCCTTCAATGTATTTTATAGCTTATATCTACTGTGAAATATATAAAAAATTCACTGTTACTTAAACAGTGAAATTAACAGTATTTGTGGGACCCAGCAATGTTTTTTAAATAAAAAATTTTTGTAAAAAATATTTTTTTGTTATAGTTATTTTTTATTTTATCAAAATTATCTTTTAATTTTTTTCAAAATGCAATTTTTTAACATTTTTTATGTTCATAATTTTTTTAGTTTTGTTTAAAACAAATTATCTTATCTTACATTCTATTGTAAAGTATAAAAAAATTCACTGTTACTTAAACCGTGAAATTAACAGTAATTGTGGGACCCAGCAATATTTTCTAAATAAAATTTTTATTGTTTTTCTCAAGTTTTTGTTATACTTATTTTTTATTTTATTAAAAAATTAAAGCATGTTTTAACAATACTACTAACTCTTAAAATTTATTTTTATATTATAAATGTTGTTACATTAACATATTTATATTTATATATTTTCCAAACTATGTTTTAATTTTTTCCAAAATAGAATTTTTTAACATTTTTATGCTCATAATTTTTTTCTGCTTTGTTTAAAACAAATTAAAGCATACATGATTATGACTATTAACATCCAATAAAAATGTTTATTATATTTTTATAATATTATGTTAAAAAAAAGAAAAAAAGAAATTAGTGAATTTCTTTTTTATCCCGTGCATTTCACGGGACGTTTTCTCATTTTTTTAATTAAATTATATTTATGATTGGGATATTAATCTTTTTATTTTTAATATTTATTATGATTTTTTGAAACAAAATTAGACTTGAAGAACATCATAATTTTAAAAAATTGATAATAAGATCTCAACGACATATATAAATAACAACCAAATTTTTTAAAATACTATAATTCCCTCTGAAATTTTTGGATATCTTTTTGATATAAATAATTTTAAATTAAATAATTAAATTATTTCTTATTTAAAATTCATTTACTAATCACAACTTTTATTTTATAAATTATAAAAAGTAAACAATAAATCATAACTTCTCACATAAAATTTAAACAAGTTTTGAAAATAACTAATATTAATTATAACCTATGTTTAAGTAGTCACAACTTTAATTTTATGAATCATAAAAATTAAATGAGAAATAATAACTTTTTTCGTAAAATTTTTTTATAATTAAAATTTAAGTTCTTAAAAATAACTAATCACAATTTTTATTTAAGCAATTACAACTTTTATTTTATGAATTATAAGGATTAAATAAGAAATTACTACTTTTTTTGTAAAATTTATTTCATTGTTGAAGTCTAAATTTAAAAATAACAAGTTATAATTTTTGTTTAAATAATAATAACTTTTATATTGTGAATCGCAAGTATGAAGTACCGATACTTCAAATTACTACACGTATCCATATAGATATTATGTTTGATACTAATACTTTTTTTATATGTATCCATAGAGTATCAAAATATTTTTAAATTTTAAAAAATTTTAATTTTTTCATACATATCCGATACTTCTTAATTATGAGTTGATACTTTAAAATTAATATTTAAAAATTATTTTTAAGAAATTAAATTTTATTAAATATTGCAATATTAATTTTTTTCTCTAATATATTTGTGTGATTTTCTTTTAAAGTCAAATATTATATTTTCCTTAAAAAATAAGTTTTTAAATATAATAAAAGGATAAAATTATATTTCTTAATTATAAAAATGTAGGAATATAATCTTTTGGTATATAAACCCTAGATATGAAACTATCAGCAAAGACTCGGCGGTGGGCATTTAAGTGGATATGAAATAAATGTATAATTAATGATTATATTTTTATTGGTATTATTATAAAGAACTATATATGTATGCTATGTTAAATATTTTTTAAATTAAAATTATA